AGATAGATTCTTATTTTTCTAGAAATTTTACGAGAGATAGGTCGAAACAAGCGCACATTCGAATTCAAATAGAGTCTTATTTTTTTGGGGAATTTTACTGATATCGTCTTTTCTTTTTGACCTCGTACTAATGTACTATTATAACGACGAAAATTTAATACTAATCTATCACATACAGTTGGAAATTCTATTTTTGAGAAATAGATCAAAACATGTGCATAGTCGACTCCAGCATACATTAGATCGATCATGTATGTAGCTGAATTCGGGCCGGCGCCATACTCTCCAACGTACAATAGATAGATGCATGTGCGTAGTCGGTAATGATAAAAATTTTCGAATACAAGTCGCTGTGTAGTCATAGCCGTGACGGAATCTCTCACGTGTGAAATAGATCGAAAAACGTGTAAAGTCAACATTAGATGCTTGAGAAATAGATTGAGATAAGTGCACATTCGAAATCATATTGACTCTTATTTACTTGAGAATAATACTATTATTTAGTGTACGAAATATATCGAGATATGCACGTAACTGTCTTATTCTACGGTTATGCTACTTAATGTCTTCTTGTTGTCGTACACCCGTGCCATATGTAAAAATCTAGAAATCTATCGCTACATACCCGCCGCTTGAGTAAAAATCGACCAATAGGTCTGGGATCATGGGGCTGATATGTCTAGCTTCGTTTCCCCCGTGGCGCGAGATATCGGCAGAATGACTACTCGATTGGCCGAGAATCGGAAGTAGCTTCCGACAGACTGTCTATCGTTGAGTGTCTTGAAGAAAAAGGATACGAACTAATTAATATAAAGAAAGAACTGTTGATCATGTTATTCTTTACAAATGTCGCATGGCCTGGCAAAATTTGGCGCTGTGCATTCGAATTAAAGTATTCGAAGAGACACATATGCGCCGCTGATGATAAGGAAACGGAACCGTTATGCTCTGCGAACAAATCCGAGATGGTGTGGAGAGGATTTTGTCAGCGCTGGAATTTTTTTGACGTTGACCGACTATTATAAATAATTAAAATATCAAATACGAAAAATCGTTTCACGGTAAACACAGCTAAAATTTCATCGATCATGCGTCAGACTCGCTTTCACACCCTCGCGTTCTCGGCTCAAACGTGAGCGTAATTTGCTCGCGACGATTGCAAGTTTCAATGAGAGAAACGATCTCGGTCAAGTGCCTATTTTTATTGTATCAAGTACGCGCATAGATAGTACAAGAAACAGTGCGATAAAACCAGATGCTCGATTTCATTGCTGCACCACATTCTAATACAATACCGTGTGCGTCCCGAACGTCGAGCTTTTTTGAGCTTCGTGAGAAAACTCCAGCTCTTTCCTCGAATCAATGCATGTATATAATCGACCCGCTGATTTCAACTCGAATATATATAATGCGCGCTCGTGGAATTTTTAGCACGCGTCTCGATCGGCGCTTGACTTGTCCCTTCTCGTCTGGCTGTGTTACGTATTCGGTCGGATATGTTTTTTGTCTGCTGTTTTTCTTGTTCTCCGTTTCCACCGAAGGTGCCAAGGTGGGCGCGCGCACGAAAACATCGTCTCTCTCTCTCTCTCTCTGAATACAAAAAAAAACGATAAGCCGCGTGTGTACGCGGAAACATTGATGTCGGACGTGTATTTGTCTGCGCTGCGCGATTAGATTATAATGACAGCCACCATTCATGGCAGCAGCAACAGCAGCAGCGAGTGAAAGTTTTCGCGTCAATGCACGGGGGATGTTTCGAATTTTTTTTCGACGCGCAGCGTTCGATCAAAACTTTTAATTGATGTATTTCGCGCCGATCGCTCGTCGTACATACAACAGCTCGCAAAATGAAAAGTAAGAAAGCCGCGAAGCGAATATATCATTGAGCTCGTTTCTTTTTTTCATCTCTCCACGTACTTACAAGTACGACTCATATACGTACGAGAGAGACGTATAATACGATGTGTCGTATGTTTGATCAACCCCCCTCCGAGCGAGGTATATTACACGCTTTTTAATATTCGGCGACTGCACGTGTGTGTAACACACCGAGTGGAGTCGGAAAACAAACTCATCTCACTGCGCTGCGGCACGAGATGTCTGGCTCGAGATATTACAAGAATTTTTTCTTACTTTTTTTTTTCATCGTCATCATCATCATCATCGCGGATCGGTCAATGTCTGAGAAGCGCGCGAGGGTGTAGTAGGTACTCGTCAAGTTAAATACACTTTGCTGCGCGAGTCAAAGAACGTCTGGAGCTCGTGCTTATATATCGTTCTCTCTTTCTTTTCCGCCCCGTCCTTACTGCTCTCTCGGCACGCGAGAGTAGCATCCTCGAGAAGGAGTAGGAGGAGGAGGCGGAGGAACAAGACGAAGAAGAAGAAGAAGAAGAAAGAGAATAATAAAATCAAGAGAGTCGGTCCTGGTAGTGCGTAATAGCCGTGTGTGCGCACTGCAAAGGACTCGCGCGCGTGTTGCGCGTTGATATAGGCATTGTTGCATACAGCGAATTGTCGCTGAATAAAACATCATCCGAACGGCCAAGTGGCCACTTACGCATACTCACTGAGTCGCAGTGTATACCGGCACGCACGATATACACGCGGCAAACGAAACGTTTGTTTTCTTTCCTTCTTCTTTTTTTTTGCTCCAACCGCCGCGCGGTAGGATCTAAAAGAGAGTCGTGCACTAATTAGCGCCTGATCTTTTTTTTTCTCTCTCTCTCTCTCTCTCTTAAGAGCGCGCGCGAGCCTCTCGCGTCCGAGCAACAGTACAGAGAGGTTTGAGCGCGAGTACATCGTGCCTCGCAGGTCACTGGCTCCGTTTTTCTTTCTCTCTCAAGGTACTGCACCGAGTGCATCAGCAGCAGCTTTTTGATACAGATGTACTTGTACATATACGCACGACGTGCCGTCCGTATACGCGCGGCGATGATCTCTTAAACTGGACTGCCGTTGTTGCGCGCGAGCGCCACCCGATCACCGACTCCTCGTCACGAAGAGCGAACGTTGCGCGCGTAATTACGATGTGCAAAAAAAATGAGAGAGAAAAAAACCGGTGACGTGCACGAGACGCGTCGAGGTCTCTTTCGAAGCTTGTATATAGTCGAGAGAGCCTATACATATCGTATTCGTGCGTATACGTCAATCGCGTAATCGAAGCCGAAAATTTTACGCTCGCCCGGTTTTCGAGATAAGTACAGCGACCCCCGCGTGTGTGTACCTCATGGTGCATATTATGATCCAAAGAGCCGCGCAGCAGACCGTCACGCACACACGCAACTATATTAAATTTACGCCGCGCGGAATCGTACAAAGTTGTAATATTTTCAACTGCAACGGGGAGCCACGGGCCAAAAACACGTACTCGAGCGAGCGATGAAAAAATTAAGACCTCAACAACTCTAAGCGCTGCCCGGATTATTTTACACTCGACACGCGTGTTTATATACGAACGTACACGAGCTTAGACTCGCCCAATTGTCTCTCGGCGCTCACGAGCTTGCCTCTATATGTACATTATAATAATATAATAACGAACGATGTAAAGCTCGCCGTTGTTGTTGTTGCCATTGGCTCGGATATATACGGAGCGGATTTTATTCGGCACGCCAAATACGCCAGAAGGGACCGACGACGTGTTTATTATCGTGTGTGTATATCCCGCGCGGCACGATACTCTACTTACGTGTAATTTTTTACTATATATATATACTCGAAGAGCTTACGATGTCCTAAGCACGAGCGAGTTTCGAACGTCGTTGTATATCTCGCAAGTGGCAAGACAAATTGATGAGGCGCCTTATGCCGTATAGTCTCTCGGGTGGCTCGTCAACGTATTATAATGCACGGATTTTGGCGTTTAACTTACTCTCTGTATCAGCCGTCAAACGTCTATTTCTTCGTCACGGATAAAAATGAAAAAAAAAAAAAAAGTAACACCGAGAAGAACGAATCGTTTCTTTCGTTGCACTCGATCTTACATATATTATAAACGTGGCATCGACTAATGCGATCTCGACAACGATGGTTAATAATAACACACGTGCACAGCGCGTATATACGTACGCGTTTATCATGTGTGTACATACGCCCCATCGCATATTCGCGGCGGAGGAGAGCAGAGGAGTAAAAAGTATTTTCACCCGCCCATTTCAAATGCGTCCACCGGATAAATCCCTTCTTGCTCTTTCTCGTTTTATTCGCTCTCTCTCTCTCTCTAAAAATCAATTGTACATGAAACGATACCGCAACGCTGATAACGATACGGCTCGAAGCGAGAAAAGAACGAACGAGCCCCGAGTTCAACGATCTACATAAACTCCTAAGGCTTATATTATTTAATATAGTGCGGAGCCTTCGTGCGCATTTTTCGAGGCATCCTCTCGTTGCAGTACTTACGCGCGTTAACGCGTGTTTAGCGCGCAGGTGGATAGTCATCATACAGTGCGAGTGAAATGACCACGTTTTTTCCACTTTTATGCGAGGCCGAGGCCACAGTCAGGATTTTTACTCATCGAGCCCCGAAGATGCATGCTTCCATAATTTTTCACCTAGATCTATTTGCAAAAAAGGACTCGGCGGAGCTCTTCCACATTGTTACAGAGAATAACTGTGCCAAATTTCATTCCATTTGATTCAGTAATTTTTCCAAAAAACAGGATAGAAATTTTCAATCCTGTATTGATAAAATGTAAAATTTTGATACTGTTTCTCTCGTTTTGGTCTTGCGCCGAACGAGCTCCCGAGAGTTTTGATCTAGGGTAACTTTTCAATTACGACGAACTTGGTCAAATAACAAAATACTCGCTTCATCGTTTCACCACCTTTCCCCACTGTTCTACTTTTTTTTTGGGCGGTGCCATCGAAAACTTGTACTCGCAAGAGAAGGAGACTTGTTCAGGGTGCCACTAGGAGTGCATCTCGGGCAGTGTCACACTAAAATACTCCTGGAGCTGGCTATGCTTTCGTTTGAAACCAAAATAAACTTGCAGGCTTGTTCAATTTGATCCCCTAAATGCAAAAATAATCTGGTCACTTTCATCGTGCCTCTGCACATGAACTGCATTGTCAAATACAGTGCCGCGTTGCCAGACTTGTCTACCTGTACCGGACAACGCATTTCGTCGCCGATTCGTAATCGTATTCGTCGATACATGCCGTTTTCTTGCACGCAATGTGCAGAGGCGTTAATCCATCAGCATTGTCTAAATTCAGATCAGCGCCGTGGCTTTTCAGCTGTACCCGTGCAGTAGCTATAGGTGAGATTAAAGAACGTGCCCCACCTCTAATTATTTTCTGTTTACTAATTGGCTATTTAAAAATATAGGACTCATTAAAAAAATATGGCACTCATTTCTTTAAATATTGTATTTTTATTTTTTACGAAAACATTTTTTATTGTATCACCTTATTTATATTAAATTTTTCAAGCAATATTGGCACAATTATTATGGAAATTTCAGGAAAACATATGTTCGAATATCAATACATATTTACAATTGTCAATCATTTTGTCTAGTATTTGTCTCATGCAAAATCTTTGAATCCATCGTCTACTGTCCTTTGGTGTCTGATCAAATTCGATGTTAGTCCAAATTTATTTTCGCACTTGTCGCATAAGTAATCCTTGCGATCTGTATGGACTGTTTGTTGCCGGTACCTGAACAAAGTCGATTTTTGTCCGAATTTCTTCTTGCAACTGTCGCATCCGTAATCTTTGCGACCCTCGTGGACTATTTCTTGATGTCTGAGCAGATTTGATTTTTGTCCAAATTTTTTCTGACAGTTATTGCATGAAAAATCTTTGCGACCATCATGTACTGTTTTTTGATGAACAAGCAAACTTTGTTTTTGCACAAATTTCTTCTCGCATTTGTCACATTCATAATCTTTGCGACCCTCATGAATTGTCTTTTGATGCCTGATCAATTGCCAATTTTGTCCAAATTTTTTTTCGCACTTGTCACATGCATAATCTTTACGACCTTCGTGTACAGTCCCGTGGTGCAAAAGCAAACTTGATTTTTGTGTAAATTTCTTCTCGCATTTGTCACATGCGAAATCCTTGCGACCTTCATGTAAGATTCTTGTGTGTAAGATCACAGCCCTTTTATGTCCGAACTTTTTCTCGCATTTATCACATGCGTAATCTTTACGACCTTCGTGCACTGTCTTTTGGTGCTGCAATAAATCTGATTTACTCCTGCATTTCCTTTCGCAATTATCGCATGCGTAGTCTTTGCGATCATCATGTAAGGTTCTTATGTGTAAGAGCAAAGCACTTTTATGTCCGAATTTTTTCTCGCATTTATCACATGCGTAATCTTTACGACCTTCGTGCACTGTCTTTTGGTGCTGCAATAAATCTGATTTACTCCTGCATTTCCTTTCGCAATTATCGCATGCGTAGTCATTGCGACCTTCATGTAAGGTTCTTGTGTGTAAGAGCAAAGCACTTCTATGTCCGAATTTTTTCTTGCATTTATCACATGCGTAATCCTTGCGACCCTCGTGGACTGTTTTTTGGTGAAAGAACAAATACCATTTTTGTCCGAATTTCTTCTCACATTTGTCGCATTCGAAATCTCTGCGACCTTCATGAACTGTTTTTTTGTGCAAAAGCAAATAATTTTTAAGTCCGAATTTTTTCTCGCACTTATCGCATGCGTAATCTTTGCGAGCTTCGTGGACTGCTTTTTGGTGTACTGTCAAATTGCTTCGAACCCCAAATTTTCTCTCGCACTTGTCGCATGCAAAATCTTTGCGACCTTCGTGTACTAATTTTTGGTGCTGTAACATAATCCATTTTAGTCCAAATTTCTTCCCACACCTGTCACATGGGAATTCTCGCTCTTCGTGAACAGTCTTTTGGTGGCTCAACCAATTTGATTTTTTTCCGAACTTCATCTCACACTTATCGCATGAATAATCTTTTCGACCTTCATGAACTACTTTTTGATGGCGGAGCCAACTCGTTTTTTGTGTAAATACCTTCTGACACTTATTGCAAGCGTAATCTTTGCGATCTTCATGTAAGGTTCTTGTGTGCAAGAGCAAAGAACTTTTTTGTCCGAATGTTTTCTCGCATTTGTGACATGCAAAATCTTTGCGTCGTTCGTGAACTATCTGTATATGTACAAGTAAACTATGTTTATTTTTAAATCTCTGGGCACACCTTTCACACAAGTAATCTTTGAAAACTTCGTGGAATATTTTTTTATGTTTGAGTAAAGTCGATTTATCCTTAAATTTTCTCTCGCACTTGTTGCATGAGTGATCTTCTTGTTTTTTGTGAACTAATTTCTGATGTGTGAACAAACTCGATTTTTTCACAAATTTCTTCTCACATCTGTCGCATGCAAAATTATTGCGGCTTTTATGTACTAATATTTGGTGTCGACTCAAATGACTTCGGAACTCAAATTTCATTTCGCACTTATCGCAAGAGTAATCTTTTTGCTCATTGTGAATTGTGTCTCGGTGTGTTATCATGCTTAATTCTAGTGGAAATACCTCCTGACAAATATCGCAAACATATTGTTTATCGTTGGAAACAACAATGTCGCATTCGCTCAAATTATTTTCCAATACAACTTTCTCGGATTTCTTCTCACTTGTATCCATTTTGGTGTTCATATGAAACGATGGATCCTTTTATTTTCTACCACCAAAAATATTAAAAAAATTGTATCTTTTGTTATTATAGCTTGTTTCGTCGAGAAAGACAACATTCAAACTGATTAGTTTTTACTATAAACATGATCAGTACTTCAGGTACCATGTCAAAATTATTTATGATTGTATTGTTTACAATGAATGTACCGATTTATCTGTTTATACATTATCCCTTCCTTTCCTTTGTTTCCTCTGCTACGCTGGATTTATACATTCCTAATCTTTACTGTGCTTAGTACGTGTTACCTATATTACTCTTAAAAACTCGAGCACTTGCTCTTTAGATCTGTATATCTAACGGGGTGTCTGTTATTTCCCGTCTTTTTAACATTGCTTCTCCCCCCATCTAGAAGTCTTCTGTTTGATTAGATAATAAGAAAGCCGGTATATGTAGTTCGAAGATAGTAAATTACGTAACGGAGGGGGCGGGCCCTTCTGTGCAGCCCGAGCGTAGCGACGGTTGCATTGACACGATTATAACTCTCTAGAATTACATTGACAAATGATCCTCCGGTGGCCCCCATGCGGCTGGAAGCTTACATGTATTATAAATGGGAAAAACTTAAATATTTAATTCTTAGCGATAAAAATGATGAAAAAATTTGAAACAACTCACAAACCCACGTATTTTATGGATTTTTTGATGCGGAATCGATTGATGATCTTTGATTTGACCTTGAACATACTTCAAAGCTACAACGAATAAAATATTGAGAAAAATCGTTTTTCTCACGGTAACCCGCACAATTATTTCAAAAATTCTGAGCCTTACCCAAACATAAGTCAAAGTACATTTCAAGAAAATATTAACATACTTCCAGTTTTAACTTTTCAAGCAATATTGACATAATTTTTATGGAAATTTTAGAAAAACGTATATTTAAGTACCTATAAATATTTACACTTGTCAATCATTTCTTCTCGCATTTGTCACAAGCAAAATCCTCGCGACCTTTGTATGCTATCATTTTGTGTGTAATTAATTCGATTTTTGTCCAAATTTTCTCTTTCAATTGTCACAATCAAAATCTTTGTAACCTTCGTGTACTGTCCTTTGATGCTCAACTAAAAGGTGTTTATATCCAAACTTCTTCTCGCAATGGTCGCATGCAAAATTTTTGCGACTATCGTGAATTGCATTTTGGTGTCTAATCAAATTCGATATTTGTCCAAATTTCCTTTCGCACTTGTCGCATGGAAAATCTTTGCAACCCTCGTGGACTATTTTTTGGTGCCTGAGCAATTGCTGTTTTAGTCCGAACTTCTTCTCGCATTTGTCGCATGCATAATCTTTATGACCCTCGTGTACTGTCCTTTGGTGTCTGATCAAATTCGATATTAGTCCAAATTTATTCTCGCAATTGTCGCATGAGTAATCTTTGCGACTTTCATGAACTGTTTTTTGGTGCAAGAGCAAAGAATGTTTATATCCAAATTTCTTCTCACAAATGTCGCATGCGAAGTCTCTACTACTTTCGTGTACTGTTTTTTGGTGCAACAGCAAATATGCTTTATTTCCAAATTTTTTCTCGCATATATTGCACGAAAAATCTTTACGACCTTCGTGTACCGTTTTTATGTGTACAAGCAAATTTGATTTTTGCCTAAATTTCTTTTCGCATTTTTCGCAAGGATGATTTTTCTGACCTTCGTGTGCTATGTTCTGGTGCAAAAGCAGAGATCGTCTTTGCCTAAATTTCTTCTCGCATCGGATGCATGCGTAATCTATGCGATTTTCGTGGACTTTTTGTTGGTGCCTGAACAAAGTCCATTTTTGTACAAATTTCTTCTCACAGCTGTCGCATGCGAAGTCTCTACGACTTTCGTGTGCTGCCTTTTGATGGTCGAGCAAATGTGCTTTTTGTCCAAATTTCGACTGACATTCATTGCATGAGAAATCTTTGCGACCATCATGTACTGTTTTTTGATGGACAAGCAAATTTTGTTTCTGCACGAATTTCTTCTCGCATTTGTCACATTCATAATCTTTTCGACCTTCGTGGACTGTCTTTTGATGCCTGACCATATGCCAATTTTGTCGAAATTTTTTTTCGCACTTATCGCATGTGTAATTCTTTCGACCTTCGTGAACAGTCCTTTGGTGCAAAAGCAAACTTGATGTTTGTGTAAATTTCTTCTCGCATTTGTCGCATGCGAAATCCTTGCGACCTTCATGTACGGTTCTTGTATGCAAGAGCAAAGATCTTTTATGTTCGAATTTTTTGTTGCACTTGTCACATGCGTAATCTTTTTGATTTTGGTGGACTGTCGTTTGGTGCCAAAATAAATTCGATTCGAGTCCAAATTTTTTCTCGCATTGGTGACATGCGCAATCGTTGCGTCCTTCATGCTTTAACAAATCAGATTTACTTCCAAAGTTTTTCTCGAAATCGTTACATGCAAAATCTTTGCAACGCTCATGGACTGTCTTTATGTGCACAAGCAAACCATGTTTATTTCCAAATCTCTTGGCACATCTTTCACACAAGTAATCTTTGAAAACTTCGTGGAATATTTTTTTGTGCTTGAGTAAACTTGATTTATTTTCAAATTTTCTCTCGCACTTTTCACATGTAAAATCTACGCGATTTTTGTGTACTAATTTTTGGTGAGTAAACAAACTCGACTGTTTCACAAATTTCTTCTCACATCTGTCGCATGCAAAATTATTAAGGCTTTTGTGTTCTGATATTTGGTGTCTACTCAAATGACTTCGGAACTTAAATTTCTTCTCGCACTTGTTACAAGAGTAATCTTTTCGTTTATTGTGAATTGTTTCTTGGTGGGTTGTCATGCTGGATTCTAGTGTAAAAGCCTCCTGACAAATATCGCAAACGTATTGTTTATCGTTGGAAACAACAATGTCCTGTTCACTTGAATTATTTTCCGATACAACTTTCTCGAATTTCTTCTCACTTGTATCCATTTTGGCGCCTAAATTAAACAATGGAATCTTCTATTTAATGCTATAAAAATTGAATGAGTAAAAGTTATCTTTTCGTATTATGACTTGCTTCGTCGAGTAAGACAACATTAAAACTAAATTTTTTTTACTATAAACATGATCAGTGTGTCGAGGGACAATGTCAAAATGATTTATGATTACATTGTTTACAATGAAGGTACCGATTTATCTGTTTATACATTATCCCTTCCTTTCTTTTGTTTCCTCTTCTACGCTAGATTTATACTTTCTTAATCTTTACTGTGCTTAGCACGTGTTACCTGTATTTCTCTTACAGACTCGAGCACGTGTTCATTAGCTCCCTATATATCTAAGCCTTTTTATCACGATGCGTTTAAAACGTCGTTTTTCCCCTTCGATGTGAAAAGTCTTGATTTCTTGAGAACTTTCTCGGTAAACCCTTATTACTCTGATACCCGAACAAATTACTTTTTGTTTGCAAATTCTTTATGAAAGCCCAATCCCGTTGGCCATCCCATAAGGCTAACATTAAAAATGGCATACTTTGAAATAAAATAACTCAGATTTTTAAGCGTAAGCCACGTCAATAAATTACCATTGGATTCAGCATGATTTAGTCAATCAAATCGGGCAGGTCTCATTTATCAACAAATGTTGAAAGATCACCTCCTTAAAATTGAATTAGAACAAAAAAAACCATATTTCCAATCCAAAATATAGAAAATCACTTCCTCACATTTGTATATCCGAAAACGACACGCTGTGTCAACGACCCGCTTCGGTGTACACAACACGTCGAATTTTAAACGCAGTCGATTACGTATGTGGAGCAATTTACGAGAAAAAAAAAGAAGAAAAAACGCAGCGGTATCAAAAGTGGCACCTGTGTTACACACACATACACACGGAGAGAAAACGGCGCGTGTGTTCCCTCATCAATTGGGCCGGCTATGCTATTCACGCGACCGCTCGAGAGCTAATGATTTATTCGGCGATTTTTCAAAAGCTATAAAGCAGGAAGCGTTTAACACGTATTCGCACACACACACATTCGAACGCAGACAAGTTAGTTTTATGTACACGGCGATGATCGCCCGCTCGTCGTCGCCAATTCTCTCTCACCGACACACAGAGTCGTTTATAAGTATCGAATTAACGCGCGCGCGCGAGCACACGCGATCGGCCATGCATATAATGACAGCGAGCGCGAAACACGATCCACCGGCGTCGTTGTCGCGTCTCTTTTTAACGGGCCCCGAAAATCTCATTAAAATCTAACCGTAAATCTCGTCGTCGTTGCGATCGTAATTTTCTATAAAGAACCGCGAAGTCGATCGTTTGGAAAAGTTCACTCACTCACTCTCTCTCTCTTTCTCTCGTTTACGGGTACGGTGTGCGCGCAACATCGAAATCGTTGAGGAATTTGATTCTTGGCGAGCGAAGCTCCCAGGGAAATTTTATGCGCTGAACCGATGCAGTCTGAGTGACGGATAGCTTTAATTCTATAATTCAGTTGTTTCGATGTGTACACACACAGCGAGAGATTATTACACTTATATATGTATACCGAAGCCACATGGGACCGAAGGCGTTTTAATATACGACATATTGTGAATACGATAGGTGTTTATGTACTCCGGGGCAATCGGCGCCAAGATTGACATCGGTAATCATCGGAGACGCGGAGAGCTTTACAAATCCGAGCGTGAGAGAGACGATAAGATAAATTGCCTTTTATACTCTCTCTCTCCTCTCTTTTTCGCGCGACGACGTTCTGACGTCTTTTTATTTCTCATCGTATGTGTATATCGGCATAATATGCTGCGCGCTCAAGGAGAGCTTTTTTCCGCTTTTATAATCGCGAACGAGTCTCTCTTTCGCTATACATGCGTTATAATAATACCTGTACAAGGTGAAATGGATCAAAAGAAACGACGACGCGCACGATTGTAAAAAAGCTCGATTGACAATTCGTCGTCGGGTTTAATCGGACCGTCGCCGAAATTAATCAAGCCGGTACAGTAGCGGAGAGGTGCACGCTCCAATTTGCATCTTTCGCGCGCATAGTTAAGTATACGCTATTGTCATAATTGTAACTCGTACGTACGTATGTGTGTGTTTGTGTGCATTAAGATAACACACAGTGCGATATATTATGCATTCTACGGTTGGCCTACTGTCGAACAGAAAGACAGTGGAAAGAGAGCAGAGTAGAGTAGAGAGAGGAAGAGGTCTGAAAATGTGCCTTGCCTTTTCTTGGCTCTCTTTAGCGAGTCGTCTCTCTCCGCTGTATGTTGTACTCGATTCTCGATTTAGCCATTTGACCGGTGTCTGCCGGCTCTTGCATATACTTGTACACCTCTTCTTTTTCTCTCTCTCTCTTGCCTCGCTCGGCTCATTTTGCATTGGCTTATTATAAAATTCGAGCTGCAAAGCTGCATCGCGATGGCGCCCATCAACTGCTTAGTGGAAACGTTTTCCGAACTCCTCTTTCTCTCGTGCTTCTCTCTCTCTATTCTTCGTGCGAGATGCTCTTTAACCGAGAGAACTCAGTCGAACTTGCATATCACACGTGCTTATGCCAAAACGTCCGTGTAACGTTTCACTCGATGTGTATGTGTGTTGTGACTTGGGGAATTGCCACATGCATGCTTTTGCATCGAATGAATTATTTATCGGGTGAAAATATTTTATCGGCTCGCATATATATTTCGCGCGTAACACACAATCAATTAGACTAGTCAACGGTGGTGTGACGGCGGTCGACACTGCCGCGCGCTTGTTTTTCACTCTATATAATTTCCATAACTTGTCAAAACGAAAGAGAAAAGAAAAGAAAGGGAGAGAAATAGAGAGAGAGAGAGAGATACACCTTGTACTCGTTTCGAAAACAAGGTGTAGAGCTGTGTAGACTACCGCGCGATGGAGATAAAGCACAGGCGTGTGTTCGAGCGCGCGACCGAGAGAGAGTGATATAGGATACGTGCACGCGGAGATCGCGACTCGATTTTTGCTCGCGCGCATTCGCGGACGACGACGATTTATGGCTCTATTGGACCCGCGAGATCGTTGGTACGCATGCAGCCTGACTGTATGAACCGTTACTACTACTACTACTACTACTGCCCCTGCAGAGACACCGTGGCATTTATATATAATATATATTTCCGGATCGATCGGGGCGCGCATTATCAGTAAACACTAGAGGGCAGAGAAGAGAATAAAATCGACTTACGTAAACAACGATCGAACTCGTGTGCACCTCAGTGCCAGACCGCACGAATTCGCGTATTTTCGGAATAGTCGACTCACTGTTAGCACGAGATCTCATGTGATGCGTACCACCTATATCAACGTTGTGCACTTTAATGTTCAAAATCGGTATAGGCATTGATACATATATAGGGTAGGACACATTGCACATCTGTTCGTGCTCGCGTGCCAAGTATTTAGCACGTGGTGTATCATATATATAAATACCTGCATACACGCGGATGATGCACCTGTGATACGCGCGCGCGCACAGCGTGAAATAGCAGTTTAGTAGTAGCTGTTATATATGTAATAAGCCGGGGTATAAAATGAAATTGCTTCGCGCGCCGGTCGCTCGTTTAACGTCAGTTTCGATCCCGAGATCGGCGCGTCGAGATATATACGTATACATCGAGTTCGCGTATGATTTATTGTGTACATTATATTATACATCAGTGCGTGCGTGCGTGGAAGCTGCAATTCCTGTACGCGTAATCGGTGATCGATCGATCCTTCGCCAAAACTGCTCTCAACGCCTGTGTGTCATAATAAATAAATGACGACGACGATGATGATGAATAGTCATGGGAAGTCGCTGCAGCGGGTCGAGCATCGCGAACAGAAGGAGCAACTGTCGAGGATCGCTCGAGGAAAATCCGCCAGTAATCTGAAAACGTGAGTGCATACCTCGACATGAGTATCGCGAATGCGTGTGTGGCTTTCCACTCTCTCTTTCCGTCTCTTTCTCTATGCCGAGCGCGAGCGAATTCCATTCTTCGCGACGCAACGGCTCGAGAATTCGAGTATTTCACCCTGTTATGTAGCTACTAGAGGCTTCGCGGATCGCACGTGCCACCGAGCACGTATCTTACCCGCTGACCTTCGAGCTTTTCTCCATTCGGACGATCATCGTATCCGAGATTCCACGTGCATTTTCTCTGATACTCGAACGATTTGTCCTCTCTTTCTCCCCCACCTATACCTATATATGTAACACACGTACGTGAGCTCGAAGAGTCGTAAAATTCTAGAGATACAGCCGGTCGTTTTTACGAGTGCGCATATACGTATACCCGAGACACGATGCAGCAGCAGCAGCGGCAGTGTGCACGAGAGCGGTATCCGAGACTCGCGACATTCTTATACACTTACCTCTCTCGTAAAAGTTGACGCGAGCCACGACGTGTGTCTAGCTGTCTTATCTGTCTCGCGTGTACGTATACGACACGAAACCTTTTTTCTTTGCCGAGACAAGGATGAAATTGAAATTAATGAGTAAAAGATTAATTATCGATACTTGAAAATGTAACAAAAAGCTTTTATGGCACGCTAACCTAAAAATCGCAACTTCGCCGCTACTTTTAGGCTTTTGTACCATAAAATATTGTATGCAACTGATACGGATATGCTTTTCCAACGAAACTCGTTACAGCCCTCGCCTTCGGCTCGTGCTGCAACCCCTCGTTTCGCTGAAAAAGTATATCCGTACCCGTTGCATAAAGTACTATAAAAACGTTAGAGGTTTGCTTTAGTCAAGATCATTGATTTACATATACTTACTTGCCGCGTGATTCATGAATGAGTTTTTATCGAGTTATCAACACCAAGCTGATCTTAAGATTTTTAAAAAGTAATTAAAATTGCTATCATCCTGCACGTCATCGAATTTGAAATTGAAATTTTCATCAAAATCCTCTTCAGGATGAAGGATGACATCGTCATTCGAGTCTTCCAACTGATCTGAAATCAAAATTAACGGAGTAATATTAGCCGAAAATCCAAAAATAATTGTATACATTTATTATAATTAAATAACGTATTGCTTTCATTTTCCGTAATGGTCATAACATTGATGGACACTAGTCACTGGTCCCCTTCGAACCATTTGACTATCCATACCTGGTTGTCAATCATGTGCTACCGATGAGCGATATGTATTGGCGTATATGAAATAGTAAGACGTGTCGCCGCTAGGTGGCTCAAAGCAGAAATGTAATTCACGCAGATAATATTGTAAAGTGCAACAGTTAAATCTAGATCTTACACACTGCTCCAGATTCTCCATATACTCCACACTGCTTTGGAAGTATTTGATTGCGTGTTCAGTTGCGCGGGGATATGTACAGAGAGAGTAAGATAAAATAATAACTCCGAGAGTAATTTGAGAGGTTCGGATTTATTTGACGGAGTGTTGACAGGACAAAAATGAAAATTACGTTATTTCATAATCCTCCTGGTTGATGGTGGTGGTGTTGTTGGTGGTCTCCGCAACAGTTGTTAGAGCAATAGACAACGGGTCAGCAACGAGTTCCGGATTTCTATGGAAGTATGATTGAATTTCGAGGTTGAAAAAAACAGCAGAAATGTAAAAAAGACTTACCTCTTTGGTGGTGCCTTCAAGAAGGGATTGACCCGAACCGGCTGTGAAACTTTACGCAGTTCCACTTTGTTCATGTCGTTGTTGTCGCCATCCAATGAATTTTTTAGCATTGCATGATAATTTTTTTGGAAAGTCGCCGGTAGGTTTTCAAGCCTAATTTTATTTACCTCGAGCTGCAACTCGAGCTCACGGAGCTGGACATTTTTCAGCTCTATTTGAAGCTTTTGAGCTTCCTTATCACGTTGGTCGCGTTCACGGGCTACGTCACGATAAAAGGAAAATACTTGCTCCGTTTCCAGGTCGACCATTCCAACTTGTGTCGCCGGTTTCACGGTAACCCTTTTCTCAGAGAACTGCACCAGGTTCATTCGTTGCATGCAGCTGGCATTGATGGATGCAACGGTTTTTCGAACCTCCCTCGTTTCGACGATTTTTGTCCACTGTGTTGGCTTGACATTTTCATTAAAAAACACGGTCGGCCAATACTTGACGTGATTTCTAATGAAGGTCATAGCACTTGGTGGCAGCGCCTTTTGGTCGCCAAAAATGGTGCTTTTGATAAGTACGACTAGAAGCTAACGGAAGAAAGACAATGAGTAGAGTTAGTTGTAATTTCAGCCAGCTGTAAAAGAAAAAAAACTTACGTGTTTCGGGTCGGTGAACGAATCATAGACCGCCTTATGGTCCGTCACATCTACCGGTACGACGTGCTCCTCAACACTCGCAAAAAATCCCTCCAGATTCTGGTCATTGTCAGGGTAGGTCGAGTAAATGAGAAAGTGTCTGGTTTTTGCCATAAACTCGAACAATAACCCGATCCTTGAAATATCGTCAACATTTGCGAGTGGTGATTTTTTTAAAGAACGATATATAAGCTCAAAATCGGTAGAATAACTTGTTTTATCGTAAGGGGTGATTTTAAAATAGTCTGACGACTTTTCGAATTTGTTGTCCATGCTTGGTATATCAGGTCGATATAGGTCGAAAAACCCATTTTCTTTCTGCCTAATCGATTGGAGGTAAGCCAAATCAACCCTCGGGGTTTTCCTCGTGTATCGTCCATCCACAAAGGCAATTGTTTGCTCGATTAATTTGTACGCTCTGTCAACCTCAGAGCGCGTTGGTGGTCGCTTCAACTGTACGAATTGGTTCTGGAAAAACACAAGAGCCAATCAAAGTTTAGGCTACTAACACACAACGTCCACGAATAAAATATTATTCATCACATTACCTGGAGAAACTGTATATTTTGTTGCATAGACCGACCAACGTACTTGGACCATCCTTGAATTTTCACCATTGCGCCTGTAGACTGCAAAAAGCGTACAAGGCCTAAAATGATGGTGGAGTGCTGAACGCAGTATTTATTGCTCGAGTCATAAATAGTAGGAAACTTGGGTTACTTGGGTTACTTGGGTTACTTTTTCCCGTCTTTATCCCACTCAACGTAGGCTTTCCAGGACGCTTGGCACGCCCTGATGATTCTCGCCGTTGGTGAAGCTGTAAATTGGGAGAACAAAAAGTTTGGATCAGACATAATTTATACAACAATGCTACAATGATCATTATTGAATGAAGAAAAGCTTTGAAAGAGGAGTGATTATTTTACCTGCTTGTGGTTGAGTCGTCATTTCTCGTTGTTGCTGCTGCTGGCGAATGTCAATTATCTGCGAAATTATGAAGCAAACAAAGACACGGGGTTAATTGGGAGTTGCTCGAAATCAACATTGAAAACGTTGCTTGTGAATTGATATATCGCTCCTACCTATGACACAATGGCTACAACGCAAACGTTGTTTCGTTGTTGTAGCCAATGAATATACTCGCCTGGTTACTATATTAAAATAGCCTTCCCCATTGGCCTTTGCATTTCGATAATGCACAGTTACCAGTAATGTGATCGAGGACACTGGTAATGGATGCTTGGGCCCAGATCAAGTCATATCACAATATCTAGACCCTTTGCGACCTAAAAAACAAGGCATTAATTAATATGGGCTTTTTCGGTGCCGGATGCCGAGCACAATCAATTTCCTGATACACCTCCGGGATATAATCCCAATACTTCGAGAGCCCATACTGAAAGCCAGAACAAGTGAGTAGTTTTGTCGCCTCAGTGGGTTGTGACTAGATCAGGTCGTGGACCGACAGACTTTGGCCATCATTTTCTTTCATTATAACTTTCTCACTGCGAGACTTCTTCCATTCCAACTTCTTCAATTCCAACGTGCGCTCGCTCTCGTCCTGTCTCTGGCAGTATGCGTGCAGAGGCATGAATCTCTCCTCGTCGGTCGAGTTCGGATCCCGCCGTTTCTCAGCATGAAGTCGATCAAATCTTCGTAGCCGCAGACCATAGCGTAGTGTAGCGGTGTCCTGCCCATATAGTCCCGGGCGTCGACCCGCGACGTAGGATAGTAATCGTCGTCGACCTCGAAGAATATATGCGCCATCTCGTGAAATTTTTTGTGTAAAAATAGTATAGAGGCGTGTAACCTTCTAGATTGGCTAGATTCATGTCGACGCCTTGGCACAGCAAAAATTTCGCCACCTACCTGACCTTCGCCCGGACGTCGATCTTGACCGGCTGATACTGATCGGCGCTCAGCTCGAGCACCATCCTTGCCGAGTCAACGTCGTCGTTTCTGCTCACGCTGATGTAGTGCAGAGCTGATCGCGCCTCGTATCGGCAGCAATTCGGCTACCCCTGTGTAAGTGTGGTCCAGAGCCAAGCCCAACGGAGAATGGCACGTTGCCGCTACGACGTAATTGGGATCCTGGCCGAGCTCGAGAAATTTTGCGACGTGGTCTGTGGAGCCCGTAGCAAAGGAAACAAAGGAAAGGAAGGGATAATGTATAAACAAATAAATCGGTACCTTCGTTGTAAATAATATGATCATAAACAATTTTGACATTGTCCTTCGACATACTGATCATTTTCATAGTAAAAAAAAATTAGTTCGAATGTTGTATTCCTCGATGAAACAAATCCATAGTATTAAATAGAAGGACCCATCGTTTAATTTAGACATCAAAATGGATACAAGTGAGAAGAAATCCGAGGAAGTTGTATTGGAAAATAATTTAAGCGAATACGACATTGTTGTTTCCAACGATAAACAATACGTTTGCGATATTTGTCAGGAGGTATTTCCACTAGAACTAAGCATGATAACACACCGAGACACAATTCATAATGAACAAAAAGATTACTCATGCGATAAGTGCGAGAAGAAATTCAAGTTCCGAAGTCATTTGAGTAGACACCAAATATCAGAACACAAAAGCCACAAAGATT